ACCGCCTGTCCCTAAAGAACCATAAAATCCAAGTCATAACACTCTTAAGTTACACAAGGTGATTTTTGCAGAGCCAATGATGGGTTCTTATCACATAGCTGGCAGCATCCATACAGGCAGGACACAGCTGGGGCCGTGAACCAGCACTACAGCCCAGGGGGCCCTGCACTTCCTTTGCACTATCTGACAAAGAGGGGGTGTCTGCACCCCTTGTCTCAATCCTGCCAAGCAGGCAGGCAGCAGTCAAGTTGAGATCTCCATGCTCTCAGTTAAACTGGTCCTGCCTGTGCTCACTCTGGCTCATGTGTCAAGGCAGGAGGCAGCCTGTGCAGACACAGCTGTGCTGCTTCAACCTGGAGCTGGTGTGTGAGCCTCAGCTGTGGAGGAAAGGGGAGGGGCAGAATGCAGGGCCATGCAGGGTGCTGTGGGCCGGTGTGGGGATGGGGCCCACTGCTGAGTGAGGATTTCCAAGGAGGCTGGTGTTGAGGAGAGGGGGTGGGGAGAGGGGCTATGGAGTAGGTGAGATGTGGGAGCAGAAGGTGAGAACAGGTTGTGGTGCTGCGGACAGGATGGGCTGGGCAGTCAGGTTGTGGGGTGCTGACTGTGTGGGCTCTGGGGGTGTGGGTGTGCGGCAGTGGGTTAGAAGAGTGTTCCTGGAGCGGTTGGCACATTGGTACTGGGGTTGGGTGAGTGTATGAGAAAGGGGTGCAGGGCAGTTGGCAGGTAGGTGTTGCCCAGTCACAAAATGGGTGAGCAGGGGCTTGCAGCACAGTCCCACCTGGCCCAGGCAGCAAGTCCCAGGCTCTCAAGGCAGGCGGAAGAGTGCAGCATGGTGCAGGGGAAATTGAGCACTGGTTTACACAACTTAGAGCAAATGAGCAGGATCCCTGGCAGCGCCTCTGAGGAAGGTGTGGAAGCATGCGTTAGCCCTGGTCCTCAGTGAGTTCATCCTTATAGACTCAAGGGGATGGCTCTCTCTTCCTCCCCTTGGTGTTGCACCTTTGGCCCACTCTGACTGGATAGCCCTTCAGGAAACTATTGCAATGTGCTCCAGTCCCCACTTTTCAAGAAGTCAGACAGGTCTGCTTTATACTGTATCTCCCCCTGGGACTGAGGGAGTACCACTGGATGCATGAAGACACTGGTCAGCTCAACCATTTGTGAATAAGAACTGTATATAATTTAACCAAGTATAAGCCAGGAGGTGTCTGTTGGGGTGAGCAGAGGGCATCCTCCTTGCTCTGGGCTGGGAATGAATGTGACACAAGTCTTACATGTTGAACTGTTGTGTACCTTGATCAATCTTGCTTCACATCAACCTGAACAACTGTGAAGTAGCCAGAGTATTAGTGTTTCAATCAGTGACCAGTAAAGTGATCTGTGGACAGACTGGAGAGAACTCTTTGGGGTTGTTTAGTCTTATTTCACATGCTGTGAGCCTCTTTTATTTTCTTTATTTTATTAAAAGTGTCAAAAATTTCACAGTTAGTTAACTTTTATGGGTGTTTCAGATCACCAGAACTAAATTTTACAGTGAAAAATGTAGCCTTTATAGTAGTACATATATCAGCTGCAGGTGCTCATTGGAGGAAAGTAAACCTGAAGGAGTTATTTTTACTAGTTGTGTCTTCAAAGTGCTGGAGCTTTGATTGAAAGACTCGGTTCTAAACCTCTCTGTCTATCCATTGTGCTATAAATAATCTTGTCATTTCATGCTTGGCCTGGCTTTAATCCAATGTCACTCTAACTAAAATTTCTCAAAAGATTTGTGATTTAAACATAGCTACTGAACATAGATGAGATGTGTTTGCAAATGATAGCATTTATCAATAGGAATAAGCTCAAATTTAGAATTAACAATGGGTTCCATTTCACTGTTAAAAACATTAAGTTCTTAAAGTGTCTGAAACTAGAAACATTTCCTCACCCTTTTGTCCTGTCCCCTCTCCCCTACCCCCAAAAAACCCAACAACCCAACACAATCTTCAAGTGTAGACAATAAACTTCTTTCATCAGGAAATACGCTGTGATCAACAGATGAAATTTAGCAATGCAGTACTCGCCATCAAGTGGATTTATCACAGCTGTGAGGGATGCCTTTGCATCTTATCAGTGCAAGTTAAAATGGTCCTTCCAAGGGTGAAAATATCCCCAGGCGTCGTGACATGATCATTTTTTATTATTTTCGTATCAATAGTCCCTTACTGTTGCAGACCATATGAGTCTGATATAAAAATTGTCTCGTATATGGCCAGTAAGGTTGGCAAGAACAGGGACAACTATTTAAATAATTTACAGGCATGTCTATCAGTTCAAGGATGTTCTACAGAGGAAAGAACTGAAA